CGAAGGGTGCAGCATACAGACAGCACCGACCCCGGGGCCTTTGCAATATTTTTGGTGGTGTTTCCTGTTGCGGAAAAAAAAAAAAAAAAAAAAAAAAAAAAAAGGAGGTTGTGTATTCTTTTTTTTTTTTTTTTTTTTTTCCCCTTCTCTCCCTTTCCTCCCCCTTAAAGCCCACCCACCAGATGCACTTAAAATGTAAATATGAGCCGCCAGGAGAAACGCTGCGATACAAAACAGAAACACATGTACGGGCAGGAGAAAAAAATGCAAAAAGAAAAGCAAAAAAAAAAAAAAAATAGCTTCAGAGAGGAAGAGGCTGCAAAGTCCGGTGGTGCACAGACAGCTCCATCTTTAGGACAGGAAGACTGCAGGAGGGTGAGAGCCGTGCATCGATGGAACCCCTCGGTGCATGGAGGACGCTTCCATTCCCTTTCTTGCATTGTTTGGCTGAAACGTTGCACCCTTAAAGTCTTGTTTTTTATTTTTACAGGTGTAAGGATGCATATGCTCTTCTTAGTGCAAAAAGTTTTGCTGCCACGTTTTATTACCTCCCTTGCAATCTTTATTGCAGATGAAGATGTACTCACTCCCCTTACTATGTTTTTTTTTTCAGGAGTAAAGTTGCACTACCCCCCTCTTCTTGCAAATCATGTTTGGTTTTTGTTTGTTTTTTTTTTTTTTTTTGCAGAGGAGGGATGCATTGACTCCCTTTCTTACAAATAAAGTTTGAAGAGAGGGAAGATGCAGTCATTCCTTTTGCAAAGAGAGAGAAGGTGCACTCATTCCACTTACTGCAATGAAAGATTTTTTGTAGGGTCAAAGATGCACTCCTTTTTTATTTTTATTTTATGGTAAAGTAGGGATGGAGATGCACTTAGTCCCTTTGCAAAGAGAGAGAAAAAGCTGATTCCCCTTTTTCCAAATAAAGTTTGTAGACAGAGGGTAGATGCAGTCGTTCCCCTTGGAAACAGTGAAAATGCATTCATTCATCTTACTAGATTTACAGGAAGGAAGATACTTCCCTCCTCGTTATTACTGAGATTTTGCCAAGGGACGATTCCCTTGGCAAGGATTCTGCAGGGAGTGGGTGCGTGCGTGCTCCCCAACTCTCCCCAGCAGCTGCATTTTCACACAGCAGCAACGTATGGACAGTTTTGGGACCTGCTCCCAGGGGCTGCTGGTGGGTGATGCCTCATGCACCGCCACCTGCAATGGCTGCAAAATGCCGCAGAAGGCCAAACCCATGCGAAGCTGCATTTTCAACTCTTCAGTGGTGCAAAAAGGAAAAATGAAGTTGCTAATGGAATCATCCGTGCTGCATCTTGGAGCACAATTTGGAGACCGAAAGCAAAACAGAAGCAGGAAAACGCTTTCAGATTGGCACCGAGATGCCCGCGCAGTGCCAGGCTTTGCAAAAGGTGTTTGCAGAGCAGCAGTATCTCCTTGCTGCTGCTGCTGGGTTGGGTTTCAGCGTGCAGTTGCACTGAGGCCAAGTTCCTCCCATTTACCTTTACAGCCTACAACAGCTATTTCCCATAATATCCCACGCTGGCGATGTCAGGCTGCATTTTGAGGCACCTTGTCCTAACTCTGACAGAAGTCAGCACTGGAAATGGAAAGATTTGTTTGCAGGAATGCAGGGACCCTGTTCATCTGCATCATCCAGGATGCAATCTTAAAGGTGTGATTAAAAGAATGCTGGCTGCTCGACTCTAAAATTGTGTTTTTTTCCCCAGTGTGCTAATGGAGTTATAAAGGGGTTGGGTGGAGGGGGAGATTTCAAGGCACAAAGCGAATCCCGTTTCTTTAGGGCTTTTTGCCTCTATCTTGGCCAGATCCCTGCGATAGGGCTGAATCGAGGAATACTCAGTTCCAAAGAGTTTTTCCCTTCTTGGCAAAGGTGCCCACTCCAGTTGCATCAGGCTGAGAGTTAAACTGGTTTTTTCTGGGATGAGGACAAACTGGTCCAGCCTGTTCTTCCCAAAGGCTGCTGGATGGGGAGCGACTTCACCCCAAATGCCCTCAGATGGGCTTTGGCAGCCCCCTCTAGATCCATGTGCAGCTATTGGACCTCCAGTAAATGACGTCTGGGGCATCCCCAGAGCCTCAGCAACTGCAAAGCGGAGGGGCTGCAGCACACCCCACCTGCACAAAGCACCCAGCACGCCACTCTGTCCTGGGAATGGGGTGGATGCAGTGTGGGAACCAGGGCGCTTTGCATGCGCTCATTTGCTGCATTGCATCTGCAAAGTTGCATCTGGTGTATGCTGAGTTTTCCAAGCAAGCAACACAGCAAGGATGAGCTGGAGAAATGAGTGCATTTAGTTCTGTTGCTCAAAAAAATAAACCCACCGTAGGCATAATCTGCATTTCTAGTGACATGGGGTTGTTTGCATCACGTGCAGCAGCAGCAGAACTTTGAGTGGCAGTGGGGTTTGCAGTGAGGAAATGGGCAGTGAGCATGGGCTGGGGGGTGGCAGCCTTTTGAGGTGCAAGGTTTGCTTTGCACACCCGGCCCAGCATGGTGCAGCAGGAAGGGGTCACGGGGTGATGCCATGGGGTGGTTGGGTCTCTGAATCCCGCAGGGGAATGCCAGCAAAAGGCATTCCTGCGCCAGCTCCATCCCCCTTGCGTGGTTTTTGTTGTGCATGAGTTTGACTGCACAGGGTTCGGTTGTGAAGAGTTTGCTAATTTTATCTGTGCACAGTTTTCATTCTACATTGTTTTTGTTGTGCATGCTTCGGTTGTGCACGACAATTTCTTGCAGCTGCTCCCCACTGCAGGCCTTGCAAGGGATAGGTGCCACAGAATCACACCAGGTGTACTCAGTCAGCACTGAGGAGCACAGCTCATTTAAGTGCTGCCCACCACAGCAATCAGCTTGCTCGCTCAGTTTTCCTGCAAGCCCTTTCCTGGCTGCTTGAAGTTCTCTACGACCATTGCATCTTTGCAGAATGCCCCTTGGCAGAAAGGATTAGGTAAGCAAAGCCCTATGGTTGGGCAGGAGCATGCTCTAGCTGTGCAGCATGGCTCTGCTCTTCTGTATTCCCCCTGACCTTTTGCTTTCTCCTCTCTAGGTGTTGCTTTGTTGGTTTTTTTTTTCTCTTTCTTCTTTTGCTCCTCTACGTGCAGTTCCCCACTGCTATGTGTATAGTGTTGGGACATATTCAGGTGCACTCGCGTGACCATGCTGCCTCGTTGCATCAGCACCTGTGGTTCTGTCCAGCTATGCATTCAGCATTGCACAGAGCTTTGTGGGTGCAAAACATCCCTTACAATTTCACTGTGACCACTGCTGGATGCTATGTGCGCTATGCGTTTTGTAGATGCATGCATTGCACCGTAGGTGTGTGCAGTGCATTTGGTAGATGCAAAGGCGTGCAAACAGCCTGCAAAAGTTTTGGCATTTGGGGACCACTTTGCCAACTTCTGTCTTCATTGCAGCTTTTGCAGAGCTCTTTTGGGTGCCCAGCAGGAAGGCTTTCAGTCCTTGCTGTGAAGCTTTTGGGATGACCTCTGGAGAAGCTCAGAAGCTTACGATTCACTGTTAATGATTATTTTCCACATATGAAAAAAACCAAGAAAAATTAACTTGAATTTGCATTGTGGCAGCTCGGTTGCTGTTACCCAGCCCTGAGAAAACAGACCTGTTGGGGCCAAAGTCCTCTCTGCTGCACTGCTCTTGTTCCCACATATGCTCCGTGGGTGCAAGGCAGCAAGCAGCAATGCCATTACCTGCAGGAAAAGATGTTTTTGGTTCTCTTGAGTCACCCAAAGGGCACGGGTAGTGATTATATATTTTTTGCTGGGCTTGTCCATCCGGTTGGGGCTGGGACCGGCCTTGCAGCCACCGCCTGCGTTTTCAAAGAGGCGTTGTGCAGAGGTGTGGCGGCGGGGTGTGCCGGGGGGGGGCTTTCCTGTGCTGGGAAAACACAGCCCCAGTGCTGATGAAACAGGTGAGGTTGGGGGAAATTTGTAGCATTAAATGCATGTGTGCATGGGGTGGCCTTTGCGTTGCTTTGACTTACTGGGTTTGGTCTGTATGTTGTTTGGGGGATGGGGGGGGGGGTTGTTAGGGTGAGATGTGTGGTGAGTTTGGTGCCGAGATTTGCTGGGCCAATGGGTGTGAGAGTGGGTTGGCAGTGATTTTGCAGTGTTTGATTGGGGTCAGGAGGCATTGCTGTCTGCTCCCAAACATTCCGTCTGTAATGTTCTTGAGATGGGGGGGGGAAGGACTATTCTCCTCTGCCTGGGGCCAGAAACCAGCAGCTGCCCTGGGAATGGGAAAGAGATGAGGCTGCAAATCCTGCACATGGCACCACATTGCAGCTTTGGGGAAAATACCCTCAAAATAGGATTGTGGTGCACTTCATGTGGATAGCAGCTGCATTTTGGGGGCTGCAATCTGCAGCAAATGGTTTAGGGGTAAGAAATTCGATGAGAAAATACTTTTCTCTTAGAAATTTGGGGACACACTCTGTAACCTCCCCTGCGCTCCCAGTTTTGCTCCAGGCTAGACTGGGAGCTCTTTTTGCACAAATGATATGCTCAGCAGCGAGAGGGTTAACAGGGCTGCAGCATGCAAAAGGGTTAAAAGTCAGTTTGGAGGGGGGCGGGGGGGCAAGGGGGACCATATCCAGACTGGATTGGTAGCAGCAAGGGTGTAAATCAGCGATGCTTTGGGAAAAGAGAAGGGAAAGGGGGGGGGAAAACTGCCCAAATCCCGGCATCCCTCGCTGCCCAGCACTCCCAGCTCCGCCAGCCCCAGCGCCGCCTGCCTGTGGCCCCAGCTGGGAGCCCCCAGCCCAGCCATGGGGACCTTTCTATGGGGCTGGAGGGGGTGTGGGCAGCCTTAGGGCCCCCACCGCCTGCTGCTGCCCTCGCTGCCATCCTGCTTGGCCGATGTGGACACAAAGGCAGAGGAGACACGGCCTTCCCAGGTCAGCACAGCCCTCTCCCCTTCCCCCCTCTTTCCATTCCCTCTCTATGTGTACTTGCGCTTATGTGGCCCCATGTACCCATAATCTTAAATTTATTGAAGTGTGGTGGCCCTTCTGTAGGCAGGAGGTAGCCTCGTACCTACTCTCCTTTTGCAAGCAGTTGGGGTTTGCTGCAGGAAAAAGCTTTCCCTTTCTATTTATTTATTGTTATTGCATATAGATGTATAGGATTGAGAATAGGGAGGGTGGGAGGAGGAGGAGGATGCTGAGCGTTGGCCCTTGTTGCTGCTGCACAGTGCCATTCCTGCACCCATTTCTGTCCTAATCCTCCCTGTTTTCTGCACTGTTTGTAAGTTGTGCAATGCTTGCAGCCCCCCTACATGTAAGCATAGCATTGGGGTGCTGAGCACCAACTCCTGGAGCTGTGTTGCTTTGGTGGCGCAATTGAATTGCAGGGTTTGCACCCACGCATGCCTGCATTGTTTTCTAGTTTATTTTTTTCCTGCGGATTTGGAAGAAAACGCCCCAAATTTCTGTAGGCTTTTGAGCAGCTCCAAAGCTGTTTGTGATGTTTTTCGGGTTTTTTTTTTTTGACAACAAGAAGGGCTTCTCCTTTATATATAATATTCCTCAGTGATTACATTAATGCATGCTTTGCTAAGGTCAGCAAATACAACGCTTGATGCTAATTGCACTTTTCCCTGTTTGTGATTTGGGGTTTTTTTTTGGAGGGGGGAGTTGCACTGGAGGGCATGGTGTGGTGTATGCTGCAGAGACACAAAGTTTGCAAAGGAGATGGAGGTGTGTTTTATTTCTGAGCTTTGTTTTGGTCAGCCTGTTGGGTGTGCAGAGCAAGATTTGCCCAAAATATTGGGGGAAACAGGAAAAAAAGAGGAAAAATAGGGCAGAAAAAAAGGCTTCTTATGATGTGCTGGGATGTATGTTGGCAAAGCAGCTCTACGTGGGGGAGAAATGAAGGCAGCTGGGGACTCAAATTTGTTGTCATCTTCAGCTCTGATTTTGGGAATGCTCTTATGTTAAAAAAAAAAAAAAAAAAAGCAAAAACATTTTCTGCTTTGTGGTTTTTTTTTTTTAATGTCTTTTTAAGCATCATAATTCTGATTTTCACTTTTTTTTTTTTTTTTTTTTTTTGTTTGGAGATTTTTTTTGGGGGTTGTTTTTTGTGTTGCATTTGCACTTCTCATGGTGTGTGGTGGCCAAGGAATGAATTTTCCGGTTGATCAGAGATACTGAAAAGCAAAATAAAAAGGAAATTGGGAACAGCACAGTGCTGAGGCTGTGGGTTCTGCCTGGAAACACAGCAGCGGGATGTGTACCCCCAAAAGAGCCACTCTGCAGCAGAAATGCAAACATTTTTCCCATCTTTTTCCCATCCACCAAAGCCTTTTGGTAACAGTGAGCTGATAAGAAAAGGGAAAAGAGTGTTGAATTCTGAATTTTCATTTGGTTGAATTTTGGGTGCAGAAAACCTCAGAGTGATAATCTGGGGGATAAAATGCCTCTTTCTGCCTTGTTTCACCCACAATACTCACTCAACATCCCTTTCTGGCTGTCATCACTAATGCTTGGTGCCAAGATCCCAGATTTGAGTACTTGGAAAGCACAGGGCAACTCTTCCCTGTTGCACTCATTCCTAAATGGAAGTTTTAGAATCGCTTAGAGGCCCTTCTGTCTCTCCACCTCACTCTGGAAGTGTGAGGATTTCTACATGTGGCCTTTAAGTGCATGGGCCCAACTGGTTCTCAAAGTGCAGCTGAGACAGGCACCTCCATGTTATATCCAACGCTACATATTTTCTTAGACCCAACTGGTGCTTAAAGCAAACTCTGCTTGCGCCTACTGTTGAGATCCCCATCTGACATTGTATTATAACGTTAATATTTTAACACGAGATGTGGGTGATGCTCTCCATGAAAATACTCCCGGTTTTCCAACTTCCACCTCTATTTTTCGGGGTGGAGCAAAGCTCAGTTTCCCAAAGGCAGCCCAGAGGTGGTAGTGGGAACGCAGGCATGCGTCCCACGGGCAGGAGGAAGCAATAAGGAGGTGGATGAGGAAGCAGCGGCGGATCCTTATTGCTGCCTACACCCATTTTTATGGGTGATTTATGGGCTGGGGCTGGAGCACTGCCTGCTGCCGTTCTGTGTGTTTGCTCAGAGAGCTGCGTTTGGGATCTCAAGGTCTGCACCTGGACATCCTTTTGCCAGTGCTGTCACCTAGAACTCAAGCCATGCACTGACCCATTTGTATTGGCAGGAATTGGGAACCTGTGGGGTGGAGGCCCCCTTTTGCCTGCTTTTCTCCACGAAGGGCTTTGGGGCCGTGTCCTGGGCTGGCAGCCGCCCCACCAGCTGGGACCTGTCGCTCGGGCACAGAACTAAAAATACCGAGGCTGGGTGCCAGTGCCCGGAGGAGGATGCTGCCTTTAGCAGCTGGCCCTGCGTTTGTGGCTTTATTTAGATCCATCTTTATTTATTTCCCCCGGTTGGGAGGGAGACGGGGCTGGCACATTCGAGTGGCTTTAAATCCATTTTTCTGAGATATCATCCCAATATTACACTGGGTTTCTCCTCTTGTCCTATCCTATCTGGATGTATTTTCTCAGCAAGATGCCTTATTGAGAGCATGGGTAGGAGCAGCGCTGTAATTTCATCTTACAGAGATGCAATTAAACTTCATGGTTGGGCTGGAGCCCAATGATAGCAATGGGAAAATAACCGTCCGTGGGACACATGGGCTGATGGGAGCTTATGTCAACTGTCAAAACAGTAACTGACCTTATAGTGGGATCAGACCTGGGCTGAGCATCACATTGCCATCCTCCTCCCTGAAAGCAAGAAGCATTCGTGTGCTGGACCCAGGATACAAGCAGAGCTGTTCCCGGAGCATCTTTTTCTGGTGTCCAGGTGGCTTTTTAATCCTTTTTTTTTTTTTGTGAGGCACTTCTTTTGGGGGTGTATTTTCTATTGAGTCTTGATTTGTGTCCATAGGGATAAACTTGGAGCTTCTCATCCCCAATGGGGTGATATGAACTCGTAAAGGGGGGAAAAGGCCAGCTTGATGCTTTTTGGGGTATTGCAGTGGGATTGGGCCATGCTTCCCATTCCCACAGCACCCATAGATGTGCAGTCCAGGGCTTGGGGTTGCATAGGGCACTTGTGCACACGGGGAGGATTTGCTACTGCTGTTTGCAAAAGGTTTTGCAGCTCTTTTTGCAGGTGAAATGCAAAACTGAGTAGCTTGCAGCATGGTGGTGGTATCTGTTGTTCACTGGGTAGTGGCAGCTTTTGGGACCCACTTGGGTTTTTGTGGGCTTTGGGATCTCTTTTGTTCTTTGCAGGTCTTGGGGACCCATTTGGGTCTTTGCAGCTTTTGGGACATATTTTGCCCTGTTGTGATTTCTCTCCCATTGCACCCTCCCTTGGTCTCAGGATTCTGCCCTGCCCTTCCACTTCCTCCTGGTGACCTTTTGGGGCATCTCGTGTTACTGGAGCAGACGAACCATTGATCGCACGGAGGATGTTTGGCTCTTCCCACTCCCTGAGCATGGCTCAGTCCTTCAGGATGAATACCTGAAGCTGGGAGGGGACGGAACTTGGCCATGCATGGGTCAGGTTGGCCATATGCATGCGTAAGATTGATCTGGTGATGCAATCTTGCTGTGCACCTGAGAGCATTGTTTCTGCTTCCTTGCAAGGTTTTGCAGCACTGGAGCAGGATCTGATTCACTGTAGGGTCCTGGGGGATGTCCAAGGGATGAATATGAGGTTGCTCTATCTTCTGAATCCATTTTTCCTTTCCTTTCCTGCAGGAAAGGCTCAGGGAAGGGCCCAGGTGGAGAGTGTGGACCCCCTGTGCCATGGCTTCATCCCAGCTGCCCCCCTGCCCCACAGTAGGTACTGTCCTTGCTTCGCAGCCCCCCAGCGAGCTTCCCCCTGGTGAGGAGGACCTGGGTGAAGCCTTTGACTTCGAGGACAGTGACGAGGAGGAGGACGAAGATTCAGCCACTGAGCCAAGCAGGGGTGCAGTGCTTCAGGCCCCTCCTCGCAGGCACCGTGCCACCAGCTGCAGCACCGGTGAGGTCCCATTGTTTCCCAAGTGTCCGCTTTGGCTGGCCAGGCTCATGAGCTCAGCCACTAACCTGATTTCTCTTTGCTTTTTTACCCTACAGAGGGGCTGGTGCCGGATACCCAGGAAGGGTATGTGTGGTTCTGGGGAGAAAATGCGATTTTGGAGGTCACCCCCTTCCTTAGCATGTCCCAGCCTGGTGCTGTGCTTCAGTTTTTCTATTTTATTTCCATTGCTTCATTGCTGCTTATAAAAGGACTGGGGGTGTGGGATCTGAGGTTGAAGCACACAAGAATTTGGGGAGTGTTGCAGGGGGATTTCAGGGTACCTGAGGTGGGTTTTCACACAGGCACATAGGGGGAAGATACAAATCTGACAGCGAGAGGCAGGTACAGGATGCAGCAAAGTGGGGAAACCAAGTCCAGCTTCACTGGAGCATCTTTCTCTTCATCTTTAGCTTTGTGTAGAACAAAGATTTAAAAAAAAAAAAAAAAAAGCCTTTTTTTGACACTTGTGCATCAACCCTGTGTGTTTTGTTTTGTTTTTTTCTGGGCCAGCCCTAACAACAGGGTCTCCAAGCCCTAGAGCAGCAGGCTTTCTGCAAAGCACTGCATTTTGTTTGTACTTTTTTTCTTCCTTTGTATTGAGCTGCATCCCTCCCTGAGGGGACTCCCTGCTTTTGCAGTTTGCAGTTCAGCCGGAAAGCCAGAGGCATTGACCTCATGTCTTTAACACGTCAGCTTTTCTGGAGGTGCAAAACTTCCTCCATAGGTTGCAGCTGAGTCTGCACCCTGGGTGAGGTGGGGGCTTAATTTTGCCAAATGGGGGTGAGCCCCTCGTGTTGTGGAGTGGTGGGGTTTGGGGCATGCATGCACAGTGGGGACTTGTGCAAGCTCCTTTTGACGCTCTTGGGGTTTTGCACTGATGGTGTCTTTGCCTTCCCTACAGGCTGCCAGAGCGGGTGAGCAATGGGGAAGCCTGTGAGGATCCCCATGACATCAAAACCCAGACGTGGAAGAGGAAAAGCGGCCAGCAGGGTGGGTTAAAACACCTGGGGTGAGGGGGAGAACACAGCTCTAACCCCACATCCCAGCCTGGCTGTGGGATTGGGGAACAGTTTCCGCACCCTAGCTGGATTTTTGAGTCCTGATGGGGATTTCTGGGGCTGTTTCCCTGTTTTTCCCTCTCTCAAGGTGATCGCTTTGAGTTCACGGCGGCAGAGGACGATGTGATTTATGACGACGTCCCCTGTGAGAACCTCGACGCCAACCAGGATGGTAGGAACAGCCTCAGGCCCTCTTCTTGTTGGGGCTGTGCACCCATTTCACAGATGGGCAAACTGAGGAAGCAAAATCCACATCCTGTACTGCTACAAGGGTCCAAAAAGGGAAAAAACAGCAGAAAAGCAGCTGGGATGATGGGGTTACAAGTCCACAGGGAAAAGCAGGATTTTGTCTAACAGGGCGCAGCCTGATCTACGAGGACGTGCAGCGCGGTGAGGAGCTGGGCTGGAGCTCCAGCGAGTTTGAGAGCTACAGCGAGGAGTCGGGTGAGGAGAGCAAGCCAGAGGCTGAGCCAGCCAAGCACCGGGCCGCCTTCCAGCCCAAGGTGAGGCTCTGTTAATTATTCTCATTTATCGATTTTTTTTTTTTTCTCACAAGTTTACCGGACGTGTCTCAGGGCTTACTCTCCACATGTTCTCACATGATGCACAATCAGCATAGCGCTGCTTTTGGATTTGATTTCTCTATTCTTCCTTTTCCTTCCCCTTTTTTATTTTCCCTTTTGCATCTCAACGCATGGCTGCTGCTCCCTGCTCACTCCCCTTCCCTGCCAGATTATGGGAACCCACTACCCGTATTGTGCTGCTTTGGAACGATTTCATGGCTTCTCTTTTTTTTTTTTTTTTTTTTTTTTTTTTTTTTTTTTTTTTTATTGTTTGGCTCCTCACCTGAATCTCTCTTCTCTGCCTTCTCTGCATCCTCTACCTTCTCCTCCTGCCTGGTTTGCTTGTGGCTCAGCTTTCTCCAGACCTGAATAGACTAAAGGAGACATACGCCAGGACTAAGAGGGACATCCTGGCTTTAAGAGTTGGGGGGAAAGACATGCAGGAGCTGAAGCAGAAGTATGATTGGAAGGTACTGTCCCTCCTCGATCCCTTCCCTGAATTTCCCTGAGGGGAGAAAAAAGCCTCTCTGTAAGGATATGAGTGCACCCGTGCTCAGTTCAGCCCATTTTGCCTGATGATGGTTGGAGGCGTGGGGTCATCCGTCGCTATCACCTCCCCCATCCCATCTGCATCCCTCCGGTAGTTATGTCACTGATCAGCCCCCCCATCAACTGTTTGGGTTTTTATTTTTCAAGGGGCGTTTGGACAGAGCGAGGTTCAGGTGTGCTAAGTGGAGCGGAGAAGGTTTAACCCCTACAGGGTTGGGAAGGAGATTATTGGGAGTGGGAGAGAAACTTATTGCAAAGCCTTTCCCTGCCTCAGAGCATTCAGGTTGGTGGTTTGCAGCTGGTTTACGCTGGGATTGTCTCAGTTTGCACTAAAACTACTACAAGTCCAGGTGCAAAGCTAAGGGTGAACGTCCTTTATGGTCCTACTCACAAAATCCTGCTGCAGTACACTCATCATGCTTCCCTCCCTTTCTTGGCTTTGGCTGCATGCTCATGCTTTGCTGCATTGCACGCAAGCTGGCACATCACTGTGTCCCCACAAAGGAGATGGAGGTGGCCCCTTGGGTGCTCAGCCCCCTCCTCTTCCTCAGCTTCCCCATCAGTCTCAGCCTTCCTAGGGAGGAATGGGGGTGTGTGATGTCCCCAAGGCATTGTGGGGGGGACGCAGTGCTGTGTGACCTTGAGCATCCCAACCCCTTTTGCTCAGATGACTCAACTGATGAAGGCGGCCAAAAGTGGCACCAAGGATGGGCTGGAGAAGACCAAGATTGCAGTGATGAGGAAGGTGACCTTCCTGCACCGTAAGGAAGTGCCAGGTGAGTGGGGTGTCCCCTTCCAAGCTTATATTAATCTATCTAGAATCATTAAGGTTGGAAAAGACCTCTGAGATCAATCACTCCAACTGCTGACCCATCACCTTCATGCTCACTGAGCCATATCCATTTGGAATCTATCTTGTTCTTTCTCCAACTTACCTTCTGCATTTCATGGTTTTTAATTCATTTTCCCCTTTGCTTTTTCTGATCAGCCCCCTCCTTGTCCTTCCTAAAGCATCCAGCCCGTGGGTGTCCTATTTGCATACATTTCAGGGCAACACCAGCATTTGAGCAATGTAGGAAATGATGAACTTCTTGTGAGATTTGAGGTGTTCTGCAGTTTTCTTGATCTATCCCATCAGTGCTACAGGGGGAGGTTTGGGGCTGGTGCACCACTTGGGGTTTGAACAGATCCTTTCCCTGAAGATAGTCCCACATCTCTATTTAGTTTTGGTGGCACCTTGTGCTCTCCCCATAAGATAAGAAGCAGCCCCATTTTCCAGCCAAAAGAAGGAAAATGCAATGTTTTGGGGTGTCCAAAATATGATTCATACCCCATAGGGGATGGGGAGCGTAGGAGAAGGGTGAAGGAGGCGGAAAAGCTACCACCCACTCCTGGCATCTCAAGGGGCTCACTGGAGCATTGCGGACGAGGTAGGATCCTGCTAGGTGGCCCTCTGGATCCATTGGGGCCACTGGGGATCTGCTGCGTGTGCCATGCCCTGCTGTCAGTCTGTGGGATAGTGTCCCGGGGTGGGATTTTGGCCAGAAGGATGCTCCAAGCATCCCATGTGCAATGCTGGTTTTAATGGGGAGGAAGCACCCAGCGTGGCCCCTTGGAGCCACCAGCAACGCATTGGGATCCTCCCTTCCTAAATTAGGGAAGGAAAAAGGTCACCCGGGCGGCAGCGCCCTCCCCTCTGGTTATTTATATGCACAGGGATGGGAGCGGGGTGCTGGGGGCTGGGGCGGCCGTAGTGGGGCCGGCGGCTGCAGCATGTGGAAGAGAAAGCTGTCCCTGCCCCATGACACCGTGATCCGCTCACCCTCCTCTTCCTCAGTTGCTTCGGCCTCAGGTAAGGCAGGATTGGATGCCAGGAGGTTTGTGTTGTGCTTTTGCTCTGCATTTTGCTTTGAGTTGCTGCTTTTTTGTGCCTCTCTGTGATCAGAGCCATTCTTGAAGGAAGGAAACAGAGGGGGTTCCCTAATCTGGGATGCTTTCTGGGGAGGATTTGGCCCCTTCCCACTGGGATCTGACAGCACCTCAGCTCACAGAGCCCTGACTCATGCTGGTGTCTGGTGACAGCTGCAGTGCTTGAGACAGGCGGTGCCGGCAGCCGTAAACCTTGTCAGAGCCCCTGGAGCATCACAGCATGCCCCCTTCTAGAGTGGGGGTGTGCTCAGCACCAAGAAGCTTGCAAGAAAAACGTGAAATAAGTTTATTTTGTTTTGCTTTTTGGTGGTAGGAGATTCAGAGGAGGAGGACACAGGTTTCCTGGAGGTCACCGTCTCCGACGTGAAGCACCCACCGCCCGAACTTGGCCCCATGCCCACAGGGCTCAGCCCCCAGCAGGTGGGTGCTGGATGGGCACCTTCTTCACCTTCCCTTTGAGCATCTCAAAATAATAATAATTTTACAAGTGAGTGAGCACAAAGCAGTGTAACTGGGGTCACTTCTGCATGGGGTTTGTTTTCCCCTTCCCCATTTATTTGCAGGTGGTGCGGCGACACATCCTGAGCTCCATCGTGCAGAGTGAGCGCAGCTATGTGGAATCCCTGAAGCGCATCCTGCAGGTGGGGAACCCACCTTTGGGAGAGTGTTTTTAGGAGTGTTGGAGGGGTTTGGGGGATGCTGATGTTCTGCTGCTTACTGTAGGATTACAGGAACCCGCTGATGGAGATGGAGCCCAAAGTGCTGAGCGCCAGGAAATGCCAGGTGGTGTTTTTCCGCCTGAAGGAGATTCTGCAGTGCCACTCCATGTTCCAGATCGCCCTCTCCTCCCGTGTGGCTGAGTGGGACTCTGCTGAGAAGATTGGGGACCTCTTTGTGGCCTCGGTAGGAGGAGAGTTGAGTGCCCCTTCCCAGCAATGGGGTTGGAGGATTGAAGTGATGCAACCTCCCTGGGCACTCCCAGCATAAGCACCCATAGCCCCATTTTAGGGTGCCTCACCGCACTAATCCTGCCCTTCTTCCCTTTCACGAAGTTCTCCAAGTCAATGGTGCTGGATGTCTACAGTGACTATGTCAACAACTTCACCACTGCCATGTCCCTTATCAAGAAGGCTTGTCTCACCAAACCTGCCTTCCTTGACTTCCTTAAGGTCCGTGGGTCCCAAATGTGGGCACATGCAGCTGCTGGTCACCATTTTGGATGAACCCCTCCCCTTTTTTAATTTTAACTTTACTCCCAGTAGAAGCGGCAGATGGCCAGCACCGATCGCGTGACGCTTTATGGGCTGATGGTGAAACCTATCCAGAGGTTCCCCCAGTTCATCCTTCTCCTACAGGTATCGGTGACGCCATGCTTTGCACCCCACTTTGGCAGGCACAATACTTCAGGGTGGCTCAGCAATGGGCTTGTTTTGGGGTTGGCAGCCTGCTTGGGGCTTGTGGAAGCGCCTTTGGGACTTCCGCTATCCCAGCAGGGGGTTTTCCTCCATCGCAGCTTGTTGAAGCTGGTGACACTGTGCTGATGATTGTCTCTCCTCCCCAGGACATGCTGAAGAACACCCCCAAGGGCCATGCGGACCGCCTGTCCCTCCAGCTGGCTCTCACTGAGCTGGAGACATTGGCTGAGAAGCTCAATGAGCAGAAACGTGTGGCTGACCAGGTGGCTGAGATCCAGCAGCTCAGCAAAAGCATCAGTGACCGCAGCAGCCTCAGTAAGGTGCGTGTTTCAGCCTCGCTCATCTTCCCCATTCCCTTGCAATGGGAGTTTTAGGGGCTGGGTTTGCAGCTATCCCCTTTCATTGGTGTTTGCAGAAGTGGTGAAGTTTGGGGCTCCCCTTTTGGGGAAGCCGAGCTCTTGTTTTCACAATAGCATTTAGCAAAAGCAAAAAATAAGTCTGCGACTCAGGAAATTTTCATCTGTAGTCTCCTCCCCTCTATCCATCTGCTTGATTTTGCAACCGTTGGTGGAAAACCCTGCACCAAACTATTGCAACACATCCTGGGCTGTGCTAGGAGCACGTGGTGGCCTCTGCAGCCTGGCCCAGGGTCCAGCATTTAGGGACAGAGGACAAAACAAATCCCAAAGGGGGCTGCAGAAGGGTCATGTTGAGGACTCTTTGCTCTTGGCAGAGTGGAATTCACATGCAAAGAGGTTGCACTGTGGTGCAAAGGGTCTGTGCTGTGCAAAGCTGGAACATTTTGCCCAGGCGTTGCACTGGGGTGTTGTGCGCATCTGTTGTACAGTGAGCATTTTGCGCAGGCATTTCTGCAGAGCTTGGAGCTGTGCATGCCCCTAGGAAAGGGAGAATCATTGCACAAACCCAATGCAGCCCAAATTGCAGGGCAAGAACCACACGAGCTCTGGGGCTGAACCCCTTTCCTGCTGTATCCTCCTGCAGCTGCTGAACTCAGGGCAGCGGCAGCTCCTGCTCTGTGAGACGCTGACAGAGACGGTGTACGGCGACCGGGGGCAGCTCATCAAGTCCAAGGAGCGGAAGGTTTTCCTCCTCAGTGACATGTTGGTCTGTGCCAACATCAACTTCAAGTACGTGCCAGCAGCCCCAAGCCACTTAGCGAAAGTGATCCCATCAGCAACCTCTCCCCTTCCCCACTTTTATTTTGGGCTTAAAGGGTTTTGCTAGCCTTGCCCTGTGTATAGGAACAGTTGAATCACAGCCTGAACCTCTGATCACCTGAGGCAAGCACTGAGTCAGCTGCAGGCACACAGGTGAAGGTGATTCAGCTGTGTGATCAGAAGGGGTGGAGCCTGGCTGCACCTCTCAGACCCCATTTAAGGGCTGACTGCCACTGAGGAAGGGTCTCTTTCTGGAGATCCCTCCCTTTGGATTGTTCTTCTGTGAGCCTAGGATATGGGTGAGGATTTTCATTTATTGTTGATTATCTCTTTCCACTGTGATAATCCTTCTAGATGTACGACCTGTGAAATACCAGCCTAGCCACGCCACTCTGCTAATTGTATATTTGATGATTATGCACCCCCAAACTGCTTAGCCTAGCTTTGGAGGAGGAAGCCCAAATTTGGGGCTATTTTGCCCTCAAATCCTTGTGTTGAGCATCTGTGCAATGATCCTATGGGAGCTCCCTGGGTTTTCGAGTCTTGTGGATTGGTGCTGCTAAGGGTAATGGATAAACCCTCTTCTTGCCCCTAGTAATGCATTTTTATTAACGTTTTCCCCCCCTATCCAGGCCAGTGAACCCAAGGTAGGCATTAAGCGTGGCTTGCTGTGTTTGTGCCCTGTGTATGGGGGTGAAGGCATGTGCCAGTGCACGTCATGGTTTTGCAAGCTGTGCTCACCATCTGCTTTTTGCAGGGGGATCCAGTGGGGTTTGCAGGACTAGCAACACCAGCTGCCGATTGATTTGCTATTTCACATCCTCCCTTGGCAGAGGCCAGCTGGAAATTAGTAGCCTGGTACCACTGGGCCCCAAATATGTGGTGAAGTGGAGCACGGCCCTCCCGCAGGTGCAGGTGGTGGAAGTGGGGCAGGAGAGCAGTGCCTACGACAAGGACAATGTGGTCATCCACAACGCTGGTGCCAAGAAGCATGCACCCACTGGGCCGGCCTCGCACAGTGAGCACCTGGCCCCAGGCCACATGATTTTTTGGGGTGTATGGGCAACGTTACTTCCAATCCTGCATTTCTCCCTTTTTCTTTTTTTTTCTCCCAAGATAAAGTCTACCTGGGGCCACCGCGGCTTTTCCAGGAGCTGCAGGACCTACAGAAGGACCTGGCAGTGGTGGAACAGATCACCTTGCTCATCAGCACGCTGCATGGCACCTACCAGGTACCAAAATGCCAGCTCTTTGGTACAGCTCCCACCTTTTTGGGGGACACAAGCACTGCCATTCTGGGGGCGCATCTCTTGCTGTTTTAGGAGAGAACCTGCTAAGACTTGACTTGAGGAGCTGCAGGGGGCTCGTTTGAATGCTCTGTGCTAGCCCCATGGATATCTGTCGCTCCTCCTTAAATGATCTTGCTAGAACTGGATGACCTTTAAGGTCCCTCACAACCCAGGTCATTCAGTGGTTTGTTGGGTGGGTGGGTGGTTGGTTCCTGAGCTCCTCAGCTGACTTGCAGATGGATCCTGGGGATTTGGGCTTCTGGAGGTATTTCCACCATTCCTCTCTCTCCTTCAGAACCTGAACATGACAGTGGCCCAAGACTGGTGCTTGGCCCTGCAGAGGATGATGAAGGTGAAGGAGGAAGAGATCCACTCTGCCAACAAGTGTCGCCTCCGTCTCCTGCTGCCTGGCAAGCCGGACAAGTGGGTTCCCAATTCTGGGAATAGATGGGGCTTTCCCTAATGCTACCTCCGCTGCAGAGAGGAGGAGGAGAAGGATGAAGGCAACCTACTGACTTTTCCGTACAGGTCTGGCCGCCCCATCAGTGTCATGGTGGTCTTCATCACTCCAAATCCTCTGAGCAAGATCTCCTGGGTCAATTGCCTTCACCTGGCCAAGATTGGGCTGCGTGAGTACCTGTTGGAGTGATATTGCTTCTAAAAACAAAATCTGGGGACAGAGAAGGGGTTGCATCCTGATGAATGAGTGGGAGCAGGGTACGAGGTGGGATGAAGGTGCTGGAAGAAGCATTTGGTTGGAAGGGGGAAATGGCGTTTCCTTCCTCAAAATGTTTTGTTTCAGTGCTTTTGAGTGGTGTCTCTGGGATGCTTGGTGATATGGTCATATGCTGTCTTTGTTGCCGTCTTTGTTCTGTTTCCTAATGAAATAGGGCAAATAATAAGGGAAGAGTCCTTCCTCCTGATACCTCCATGTCTCTCTTCCTATTTAACACCATGAATCACTGCAGAGAAAAAAAAAAAAAAAAAAAGTTTAATGGCAGAAAAATTATTCCAGCCCAGGGGGAATCCAAGCACTCAAACACAATTTCAAATGATTTTTGATTCCCTCGTTTTGAGCAGTTTATGTTGTTTTTAATCTGTGTTGCCTGGGGGATAATCCTGTATCCATGAGTTTGAAATGAAAACACATTAAAACCTGATGTGAAGAAATGCATTAGGTTTTTCCTTCCATATTTGTCATGGTTTGTGGGGGTGAGTGAGTAGGGGGTGTTGATGCTGCTTAATGTGGTTGCTTGGGCAAGAGCTGGAGAAGATGCTGGGATGTGCACAGTGGATGTGGCTTCTTGCGGCATCCCAAAGGCTGGTGTTGGGGTGGGTGATGTTGCATCTCTTGCTGCACCCAATCATGCTTATTTTGGGGCTGTCTTTAATCTACTCTGCTCACCACAGGGGAGGAGAACCAGCCGGGCTGGCTCTGTCCCGATGAAGACAAGAAGAGCAAAGCTCCCTTCTGGTGCCCCATTCTTTCCTGCCACATGCCTGCCTTTTCCTCCAAAGCCCTCGATCTGCAGGTAAAAGCATTGTTCATCTGCCATATAGCTCTTTCCCCTCCTGCTCCCTTTTTGGTGGTAATAGACTGAAATCCCGTGGTGGACAGGTTGGGAGGGGGTGACCATGTTGCTTGTCAGAAATTGATACAGTCTCGGGGACAAATGGAAGAAATACAAGCTTGGACTGCAGTCAGGTTTTGATTTTTGGGGCATGTGTGGGGTAAATGCATGTGTCTCCTACAGCTCAGCGCTGCAGTGCACAACCCTGTGCAATCCTCACTGTTGGGTTTCTCTGCTGTCAGCACCTCATTGCCGCAGGGCTACCTCTGGGTGAGCAAACTGGGTCAAAAAACATTAGGTTTGGGTTATTTCCACCCTCAAGATGTTAAAACTTGTTGTGATCCCCACAGGTTGGGGGTGGCCAGGCAGGTGCAGGGGGACAAGTGGAGATCTTCTCCCTCAATCGCTCAGTGCCACGGACGGTAAAATCCTTCCCAGTGGCATCGCCAGTGCTGTGTATGGAGTACATCCCCGAGGCAGCTGAGGGGGACACAGAGGGGACTGAAGAGCCCCGGGCAGGTGCTGAGCAGCCCTCTGCAACTCTGCATCCCACTGTTTGCTTGGGACTGAGGGACGGCAGGTGAGCACCAGTGTGCAGTTGTGCATATGTGGGGGTGTGCGATTGTGCATCCACTGCTCCTGCAACCCTCTTCTGTATGCAATTACTGCGAAGGAGCTCTGCACCAAAATTTTGAAGCAATGACCGCCAGCACCTCTTGCTCTTCCTGCTCTTGCATTTTTCCCATTAGCATCGCAGTGTACAGCAGCGTGGACACGGGGACGCAGTGCCTGCTGACCTGCAAGAGCCCTGGCATGCAGCCAGTCCTCTGCCTGAAGCACAGCTCTGAGCACCTGTTTGCAGGGCTGCAGGATGGGACAGTGGCCGCATACCCGAGGAACAATGGTGAGGAGAGCAACCCTGTTCGTGCTTTGCTGTGACGCTCCAGGAATGGGGAGTGGGATGTATTGAGTGTGCTGGTTGCTAAAATAGTGCTGGAAGCACCATTTTTGCACTATTTCATCCTGTTTTGCAACCCTGAGCAAAACTCAGGGTTGCAAAAACTCTCCTGGTGGGAGATGGCATCTTGCATTGGCATAACGAATAGGGCTCAATTTGGGCCCTGTAGTGTGGTCTCAGTGGCCAACAAGGGGGAGATGCAGCAGCAGAGATTTTGCTTTGAGGGTGGTATCTGAGGACTTCTTGGGAGTCATTTCCCTGCTGTTTTTCTCCGCTTCATCACTAGAGGGTAGAAAAGGGCCTCAAATAGCACTCTGATCTGGGGAAAAAAACCGAACTTGTTAGCTCACAACCTGCAGCAAGTAGCACCAAAGCTGCTTATAGTGTGTATATAAGCACCTTTGCACCCCACTTTCTCACTTAACAAGTGTGCAAGCTAGTGAATAGCGTGAATTTGATTTCCCCTTCATTGCACAAATGCATGTGAAAGGCAAAAAGCTGCTAGCAGGGTTGTGTTTTTTCTTTTTTAATATCTTCTCCCTACCTTCTGCAAATTTGCTGTGTGACTTCATTAGAGCAAAGGTTTCCTGAAATAGCAGTGAGTAGAGCCCACCTACAGCACGCTTTGCTTGGTAGCAAAGTCCTGCTGCTGGGAGCAGAACTGTGACAGCCTCAGGGCTCTTTAAATTCTTGGATCCTGAGTATGTGGTTTTAAAATTGCAGTGGAAATAGATTGCCCATTTGAAAGCAAGGCAGTTACCCATTGGTTGTGGTGAGTTCATGGGAACCCAGATTGGTTCTCTTTCACTGAGACAATTCAGTTTGGCCCCAGATGAATGAACTCTGGAGTAGCAGTTTAGGAGTCAAAACAAACGAAAAACAAAACAAACAAGGTGGTGGTGGGGGGGGGGGGGGGGAGGGGACAACAACAGTTCCTGTGCCCAAGCATTGCAGGTGGCTGTGCAGCTGTGGCTATGTGCAGCTGCCAGGGGATGATTGCATAGCAGCAAAGGATCCCCAGCTCTGGGTGCTGCAAAGTGGGGGAGTCTTGCCTGTGCACACTGCCCCATCCTTTATTTTTCATGCAAATGATGGAAGGGAGACCTCTTGTCCCAGGCTTGACTGCTGCTTATGTGACTTCTTTGGGATTGGGGCAGAGCTCAGACCTGTGTTCCCAGTGATGGTATTGAGATTTGAGGCTGCAGGAGGTGACCCCAGCACCCAAAGGGGACGCATTTGTGCAGTAAGGAAGCTCAGTGCTAGCATTTCTTTGCACTTGCTGCTTATGTGAAAATATCTATTTTTTCCCCCTGATTTTGAGTCTTGGTCTCTGTGTTCTGCTCTAGTGGGGCTGTGGGACCTGACTGAGCAGCCTACCTGCCTGCCTGTGGGCACCAGCCCTGTGCGAGCGCTCTTGATGCTGGATGAGACCCTATGGGCCAGCTGTGCCAACCAGGTCACCGTCCTTGATGCCTCCACCCTCTGTGCTCAGGTACCTCAGGAGAACCCAGCATCACCACCACCCCCTGTGCCCCTTTTGGGACAGTTTTCCTGTAGCTATGTGAGCAGGGATGTTGAGTAGTCATCTCTATTTAAACAAACAGACAAACAAACAAAAAAAACAATGACAAAAAAACCTTTCTTACCTTTAATTTTCAGATTTCATACCTAAACTTAGTTTGCATGTATTAGCTGTCGTAAATCCATCCTAAAATGAGTGCCGAGGATGAATAATGCATCAGGGGACTGTATTAGTTTTCTGTCTCTGATCTTATTTATGACAGGAGCCAGCTGGGAATTCTCGCAGAGGAAAAACATGGGAGAAAAAGAGGGAGGCACAGTCTGGGTGATGCCATACCCAGTGGCACTGAGCATCTCTATGGGGAGGATGGAATGGGGCCTGGGACTCAATGCAGGTTGATAGCATGCAGCAGCGGGTTACAGCTCCAATTGCTGCTCTCTGCTTGTCTGAGTTGGGTTGGATTCCCTATGGGAAGTTGCACGTGTCCTGTTTAAGAGCAGCTCTGCAAACTCAGGTCCATAAATAGCAGATTGGGAATGTAGCCCTAGGGAATAAATCCCACACTGGATGGGAGAAAGGGGGAGATGTCCTAATAATCTTCATCCACCTCTGCTTTGTGCAAGAATGCTGGGATGCTGCACCACACTAATGCTCTCCAGACAGGGCTCTGTTGCTGCTCCTTTTCTTTTAAAAGCAAAATTTCAAACCCACAAGGGAAGTCACGTTGAAGTGGGTGCATGGTGGTGATTCAATCCTGCATGCTGCTCACCAACAAACTGCACTGTGGGCTCATTGCTGCACTGTGGAAAGCGGGAGCTGCATTGCAGCAAGACCCTGGACTTGCAGTTAAGCAGCAAATGAGTGCCTGTAGAAGCATGCACAATGCGTGCTGCAGCCACACTCCTGCTCCTAGCAGGTTCCTCCATCATGTTAACCCCTAAACTTCCCCTTTTCTCAGCACTGTCATACTACCACAGCCTATTTTCCTCCAGAGCATCCCGTATCTGCAGACTCGAGCCATTCCCAACCTGCTTACGATGCTAATTCGAGTTTTTATGCCTAATCTGCTGCTTGGGAGATTCTCAGGGAGTTTGTTTCATGAATGTGGGTTCAGATCCATAAATCCAATGCTCTTCAGTGTGATATTTAGGGTTCGTGAGGGTTTACTGCAGCAGGGAGAGGTGGAAAATGTGTAGAAAACAGGTAAACGTGGTGTTGGTTGGGGTTTTGGTTGTGTTGGAATATGTCAGAGGAGGATAATTCTGTTTTCTGTGCCTCTCGTTCAGAAGTCACCATGAACCACCAAACCCTAAGCAGGTCCTGTGCAGGTGCTGAGTCTTTGCTTGCTGGCTTTTGGTGCAGGAGAAAGGCAGGAAGGTGTTGTTCCACCTTGGTGTAAGGTTGAAAGACGCACCTCGGTCCAGCAAAAAGTCCTGTAAAGAGAACTGGGAAAGAGTGGTGGGAAAGGCTGAATTGTTGCCCCTACAGAGCCAAGAGGAGATTGGTGAGGGGCTGAGTTTGGTGTCTGCTAAAAGCGAAGCTGGTGAGGAAGGCCAGGACCTCTATCCCACCTCCTGCCATCCCAATATGAGTCTGCAGCCCTACAGCAGCCTCTAGAGAGTCCAGCTAAGCAGCCTTTTATTGAGATTTCTTCTTTATTTTGACTTCATCTTGATTCCTCCCTCTGGGCAGCAAACCTTTGAGGCTCATCCGGACACAGAGGCCAGCGTGACACACATGATCAAGGCAGGCAGTGGTGTCTGGATGGCGTTTTCCTCTGGTTCCTCTATTCGCCTCTTCCACACCGAGACACTGGAGCACCTGCAGGAGATCAACATTGCTACCAGGACTACCTTTGTCCTCCCAGGTGGGGCTCCTCATCCCAGTGAATGAAAAACCTGGGATATCTATCCTCCAGGTGCCTTGCTTTGCAGAGAAATTGTGCTGTGAGTTTATCTGCTGGAAAGGTTTGAGCTTTGTCTTGTGACCTCCCGCAATAGGGTTGCAGGGATGGAGCTGGGAGCATCACTCTGAAGACTTGAGAGCTCTAGGGAAAAAAGCTAGCATTCTGAGGGAGAGGGGTGTTTTTAGGCTGCAGGAGCTTTACGATGGGCTTAGGCAGGTCTGAGTAGGGTTTTAGCAAGGCCGAGCTTTGCTGGAAAGCTGGGAGCCCTTCATCCATGCATCCAGTCTTGGCACTTGTACACCTATTCATGCATTTACTCTTCACACTTGTGCATCCCATTCATGCATATTTGTGCATCAATACATGCCATCCATGCATCTCACTCCTACTCCTACTACACGCATCTGTGCACTGCATCTGTGCACCCCATCCTTGCATCCATCTTTGCTCCCAAGTGTTTCCATGTACCCCATCCTTAATTATATCTGTGTGCATCTGTGCATGCATGAATGTGCCCCATCTTTGCATCCATGTACCTATATTTGCACCCTTGCAGGACTTTTTGCTCATGCACACCTCTACCTCATGCCCTCTCTTTCTACCTCTTTGGCTCTTAGCTGCTCTGATGTGCCAAGGAAAAGACAAGGCTCAGCCCTGGGCTTGCAAGGTTGCCTCCCACTTGTTCCAGCTACAAAATGTTGTAATTGCATAATTAGTTATATGCGTGCTACTCATGTAAGTTGCTTTTTTTTTTTTTTTTTTTTTAGGGCATATTAAAATATTTATCGCTTCCTTTTCTTCCTGGGCAAGTGAGCATTGGGTATTAATGCATTTTTGAACTTGTGCTCCCTCATCCTTTTTAACCAGACAGCCCATTAATAAAGCTCTTGCCAAGAACTGGAGTTACATCTCCACAGATATATTGCTCCACTGAGTGTGACGCTGCAGCGTGAAGTCCCTGTGATAAATTATTCATGTGCCATTAGAAGCCTCACTTCTCTCTGCTCCTCTTGCTTTCTTTTTTTCCTTTATTTATTGATATTTTCATGCTTTTTTCCCCATGCAGAGATCTTCATGCATGGATGATGCTTGATTTTGCGATGGCGGTTATCCACTTTGAAGGGACAGTGCTGCTGCAAGCCTCTTCTCTCCCTCTTTTCCCTTTTTTCAGGGCAAAGACACGTCCGTGTCACCAGCCTGCTCATCTGTCAGGGCTTGCTGTGGGTTGGCACCGACCAGGGCATCATTGTTCTGCTGCCTGTGCCCCGATTGGAGGGCATCCCCAAAATCACTGGTGAGCACCCCAAAAATTTCCTCGTAAGATGACATTTGGGCTCTTTGTTATTCAAATCCCTGTTTTGCGCAGGAAAAGGCATGGTGTCCCTCAATGGGCACGGTGGCCCCGTGGACTTCTTGGCCGTGGCACTGAGCACGTTGGCCCCCGATGTGCTGAAAGGAGACCAAGAGGAAGAAGAAGGTGGGGAAGAGAAACCCCCAGAGCTGGATGGACCCCCACCGCGGGAAATGAGGAAAAAAGGGATCCTGTTGCAGTACCGCCTCCGTTCCACCTCCCACCTCCCTGGGCAGCTGCTGTCAGTGCGGGATGCTCCGGTTGGGACTGTGACCCCAGAGCACACGGAAGAAGATGGCTCCATCTACGAGATGGCCGATGACCCCGATGTGTGGGTCCGGAGCCGGCCCTGTGCCCGCGATGCTCCCCGCAAGGAGATCTCCTCTGTCGCCATCATTTCAGGGGGCAGAGGGTACCGTAACTTCAACTCTGAGCCGCAGCGCCGGGGCGGTGATGCTGACAGCACCCTGCTCATCTGGCAGCTCCCGCTGATGCTATAGCAGCCGGGGGATGCCCGCGCGGCGCCTACCTCAAAGCCACCCTGCACGCTGCCATGGGGCGGTCGCATTGGTGAGTGCACCACCCCATTATTTTTTTTTTTTTAAAGGAGAAATGAGGAAAAAAATAACGAAAGGAAAATCACCATAAAAATTGTCATTTTTGACTCCCCTCCCTCCCCCCAAAAAAACACCCCAGTTTGCATGCTGGGAGAGGGGAGTTTTTAAACATGGAAAGCAATGACCTCCTTGCAGGCTTTGGAGGCGCTGGGGCTGTGCTTGAAGGCATTTGTGTGTCTGCGTGTGGATATCTATAAATATATATATAAATAAGGTGTATATTATGAGCTGTATAAAGAAGGAATCTGTATATATTGGGGCACTTGGAGATGCAGAAATAAAGAAGAGGTGTGAGCACTCATTGGATACTGGCTGTGCTGAAACGGGGTTTTGCTGAAATAGCCCTTTTTGACTATGAAGTGAGGATTTGGGGTTACATAATGCAGTGTTTTGGGAGCTGGTTTGGGGACTTCCGATTGGAGCATAAGAGCTGTTTCTGGAGTACAGGAAATTTTGGGTGAAATTCAGCCTGGAAATAAATCCCATAGGAATCAGCATGTTTCTTTGCAATACTTTGTAACCTGTTTGTGCAGATGTTTTCTTTCCATTGCAGCTCTTTCTCCATCTTTGTCAACAGTATCCCAACGAGTTGATATGACCCTCATGCTAAGAAGCAGCCTTAAAATTGCCTTTTTCTCCCTAGAAACGGTGTGGGATGGAGGGGATAATGGACAGAGGGGATAGAATAATTCAGGTTGGAAAAGACCTCTAAATGCATTAATTCTGACTATCAGCCCATCGCCACCGTGTCCCCAAGTGCTATGTATCTTCATCTCTTGAAAGCCACTGGACAGTGACTCCACCACTTCCAAAGGTGCCCTATCTCTTTTCTCTCCTCAGACTTTTTTTCCACACAGAGAATCCCAAGGCCAGGGAGGTCTGCAGATTTGTCTGCGGACTAAATCAATTTATAATGTGATTCTCTAACTGCCTTCAATTTGATTTTCATTTGTAGCACTACAATTATCAGATTGATATTCCCTGCAGCTCAGCCTTGAAATGGGAAGATGTGCTGCTGGTGAGTGAAGATTATCTGCCCTGCACCAATTTTTGAGTATTTTTCTAATTAGCCATTGGGTGTGCTTTGCTGGGATTATTATTATTGTTATTATTATTATTATTTTTCTTTTTGCCCTCAAAGTTTTTTCTGATTAAGTTTTCCTCCTGTCTCAGAATCAAGATACGGTATCAGAGGGGTTGGTGACATCCCATAGTAGCTGTGAAGCTGGTGGAAACCAGTTTTATGCTGGTGGGGAATGGTGCCAAAGAGGTAGTGGCTCTTTTCCCTCAGTTCTTTTTTCCCGTCAGGATGATTTGTGTGTGAGCATGCTGACATAGCTGGGTGCAGGTATGTGGATGTGGGACGTCCTAAAGGGGCCCTGGTGGCATCTCCTGAAGAATGCTATGGAGTCTCAAAGTGCCCTGGTGGCATCTCCCGGGGGCTCCATGATGGTAGGTCCTAAGAAGGCCTTGGTGGCATCTCTCAAGTGCTTGACTCAATGGCGTGTGCCATGGAGTTATGTCCCAGGGGTGCCGTGGTGGTAAATGCCAAATGTGCCCTGGTGGCATCGCTCAAGTGCTTAATGGTGATTTGTCTCAAAGCTGCCACGGTGGCATCTCCCAGGGAGCGTCCTGGTGCTGTGTTCCCAGGCTGTCCCTGCTGCATCTCCCTGGGGGCATCCCGATGGCGTCTCCTAAAGGTGCGATGCAGATGGGCAGGATGCAGGAAGGGTGTTCCAGTGCAGACAAGGGCCAGACCCTTCCCCACACCCTGGCTGTTTCTCCTGTCACCAGCTCCAGGTGACCTCAGTGACAGCTTATGGCCCTTTCCTGATTTGAGTCATTAGGGAATGAAGTTGAGAAATTAATGGCCTTGCTCCCCCAGGCAAAACTCACTACGTTCCCTCGGGTCTGGCTTATAGGACCAAGATTCAGTGGGGATTTGGGGCTGAAGAATTTGGGGCAGGGGGTGGTGTGGGCTGCTTAGCCACCAGCAGATGCCTTTTTTAGGATGCAGAGCTGAGCAAGCAGCAGCCCTGCCCTGCTTTCAGCCTGGGTGCAGCCGCTGAGTGCTTTTGCAATCTAAATGCAACCTGACAGCGCTGGAGATGATCCGTGACTGGGGTTTATTTTTGGGGAAGGGATGCGCTCTGCAAGCCCACGCTGTGGGGGCAGGCTGGCATAGGGATGCAGCAGCCCCAGGGGCTTTTAGCCCCCAAACCAGCCTTTATTTCCTTGTTCTCCCTAAACCTCCCTGCGTGAGGGGGTGTCTCATTGTTTGGCATTGAAGGGAGATGCCAACCTGATTTTCTAAGATGAATGATGGAGGAGAAGAAAATGGTTTTAAGGTTGTTTTTGTGTGTGTGTGTGTGTGTGTGTGTTGTCTCTGTCAAAGGTAGGGTAAAAAAAAAATAATCTGTGAAGTGGTGCAGCTGTGGTGGGGTGGTAAGCAGTACAATGGTGCAACTGCAAAGGATGCAGTGGTAAATGATGGTGCTGTGCCATGGATTAGCTATCAGAAAACTAAAGCACTGAAAAAATTCTCCACCTCCATTGCCTTTAATCAAAGTATTTTGATGCCTCCTGGGTTTTTCTCCCCATCAATGACTTTTGTCCCCAAAGGGTCTTTTATCTGTGCAGGGGGCTGGGGAATGGTGCATTTGTTTCAGCAAGGGTTGGGAATATCAAAGGGCCCCTTCCTAGCAAGGTGGGGGGGTGGTCTGCCCCAAGGATGCCCTTTGGAGGAGAGCCTTTAAAAAAATACAGAAGTTTCTGATAGTAATAATAACAAACTGCACAGGAGCCCCCCTGGGAGGGTGGAGGAGCAAAGAAGGAATTACTTTGAGCTGCAAAGGCAGGTCTGCTCTGAAGATAGGCTCAGCTAAGACTTAGGGGTGAAGACCTGAGCAATAAAAAGAGGAAACTATCTCGCTATGGAAATGCAGGATGGGGATGGTGAGGGTTGAGTGCTTTGTGGTGGGTGCTGCATTCATGGCACCAAGCTGGTGGTCTTCTTCTCCTCACTCATGTTTAGGAGCATCCAGATAACGAGCATATGTATTTATATGTATGTATTTGCATGCGTGCAGCTCAGTGAGCAAGCTTACTATGGCCCTGCTTGCTTGCTGCCCCTATGCCTTTGAAAATGAATTAGTGCATACCAGTGCCACGGCACAGCAATGCTCCTCCAGCCTCCCACCTCTGCTGTACGATGGGCACGCTTGTGCAGAACAGTGTTCCCGTGCAAAGGAGTGGGGGTCTTGCTGAAGGTGCATCGTTATTAAGCCCTGAGATGCTGGCAATGTCCAAATTATTCCATCCAAAGCAACAAGTAGCTGCAGAGTGGGATGAAAGTCAGCTTTGCTCTGATATAAAGATTTAACAAAGCAGCCCTTCTTTGTCGATATTCTCCTTGCTGTAGCAAACTGCAAAATCCCATGGGCTCAGCAGTGCCAACATGACAGTTCCCCCAGCACTCTCCCTTAGTGAGGAGGTAAGGGGTAAGAGGAAAGAAAAAATGGAAGAAAGTTGAATTCGGAGATTTTTTTTTTTTAATTATTGTTTTTTATATTGCAACCAAGGCAGAGTGCATTGCCCCTGGTGCTGCCCCATGCTGCTGGCTTGCAATTCGGGTTTAATCCAGCTTAATTTGCAGATAACGAGCTCATCTTTCCTCTGGGCAGGAGTGGCTCTAATCCCCTCCCTTCCCCTCCCTGCTCCCCCCAGTGCTTTTTGCTTTAGGGAATGCAAAACCAACCCTCTATTATTGCACCAAATGGATTTCTGTATGGTGATTTATTGATCCTGAGTTGGTTTTGGTGTGGGTTGGGGCCTGTATCACACTAAGGAATCTTTCACCAGGGCATGAAGCCTTTGAACTGAGTTACACCTCCCATCCTATACATCAATGCACGTGCCCTATTTGCGCTTAGTTCTTGCAGAAATCCCACAACTGATTGCAAATTCTTGGGATCATGCTCTGAACCCACCCACTGGGTTCTCAGTGCAGCCTTCTGCAGCAGCTCCAGCTTGCAGGGCCTTGTGCTGCCCAAGGGGAGTAGCAGATTTGCAGAGGTTTGCATGGGAATCAGTCTTACAAAAATAAGAAAAGTATATAATGAGGATATCTGTACATGGTTACGCATGTACAGCAGTGATAGCGAGGCTTATGCAGCACTTCCTCCTCCTGTAGATATAAATATATACTTTGCCATAATGTGTGCCTAGCAGAAATGGGCTAGATTGCTGTTTGCAGGGCTGCGATCTTTTGGGGTCTGCTGCAGAAGGATGCTGTGCCCAAGGAGCATTGCAATGCCCCCTGCAAGATTAAAACCTCCCATGAACTTTGAGCCATGCAGAACTCATGGGTCAGGCTGGGGAAAGTGCAGTGCTGTGGATTTACCTGCTTTGGGATTTGGGGTGGGTGCAACCCTGTCTCTGCCCCCATTCTGCTCCCTCCGCCAGCGCCTTCCCACAGCAATTCAGATGGCGATGATTAACCAAATAAAATTTCCATCTGTTGAGGATTTTCCGGGAGTTATTACCAGCAATAAAACCAAATGATGGATCTGAGGGGGTAAGTGCCTCCCATTACGAGCAACAGAGACTTTTAAATAAGGTTATGAGGTTCCTTATGGCCCTGCCTACTCTGTGGGGGAGGCGTCCCATGGGAAAATCCTACTGTTGCACACTGGGAAATGACTCTGCCTAAATGCAATGCTTTAAGAGGTTCTGGGGTGTTGCAGCAGTTTTTGGGTGTAGTTTGCAGATGGTGCAGAATGTGCACTGGATTTTGGGGTCTTGCAAAGCTACTGCTGAGCAGCTCCACCCCCTTAATCTCTTTCTCTTGCAAGGAAGTCAAGGAGTTTCTGTCCTTCGCCCATCCCTTTTGCTTCTGTGCTGTGATTGAAGCTGATGAGGTTGGGGATGCAAAGCAGAGGGTTAACCACTGCGCTGCTGCAGCTCTGTGCAGGGATCATCAGGGAAATGGCTGCTGGAAAATGCTGGGATGTAGAGCCTTCATGCTTCAATGGGGTCTTTCAACAAAATGTGTGCTCCAAATGAGCTAGCAGGAAAGCAAAAGGGCTTTGGTTCAATTTCCTATGAGCTTTCCACAGGTTTGCATACAGAGGGATGAGTGCTAATGTGCAGACACTATTGCAGGTGGATGCTCAGAGCAGCTGGATTCAGGGGCTTGCAACAGCAGCAGTGGGTATTTCACACTGCAGCTGCAAATCCAGCTATTTTTCCCCAGCTGCAGTGGGAGCTGTGCTCAGGTAATGCTGCTGCAGGGTCAGCCCATTGTAAACCAACGATGTTAGCACAAAAGCTTTGGCTTCCCCCTCCCCCCCCCCCCCCCCCCCAACCAAGATAACGGGGAGAGAGATAGAGAGCAGTGGGATGAGCCGCCTCCTGCAGCTAATGGGCAATATCTGTGCCCTCTTAATTCCTACTAGTGAATTTTCTCAGCTATTTGGAAGGATTAAACCTAACT